GATCAGATCGATTCTCCATGCTCTTTTCAACGGTTTATTATAGCTATGCAATCTCTTCTTCGAGTAAAGATTGTACCCGCGATTTCTAGGAAAAAAGACCAGGATATTAATGTTCTTACAAATATGTTAACTACTATTCTTACTATTTAATTTTATTTTTATTAACATTATTATATTTAATCTATTTAGTCTCATGTGACCGAATAGACTTTTATTCATGTAATTACCACTGCATATCAATTTCTTATGGATAGAGATCTCATATATGATTATTTTGAAGTTCTTCCTGGTTATAAACTTCGATGTCGTATCTGCGATCAATGTTATCTGACTATACTAACACGTGTAGATGATCTTTGACAGCATCTTCGTAAAGAGCATGAAGAAGCATTTGAAAAGCTTTCTTTGAAATACTTTTTGCGAGATTATACATATCTTCACCATAATTGGGTAACCGGAAAACGTGATTATGCGAGCGCAACGGAGTTTCTTACCAAATATAAATGTCTTTTTTTGCATTATGAAATTTTTTATTATAATCTTTCAAAGATTGATTCTTCTTGGTCAATTCAATGTTTGATGATGACTGCCCATTTACTTCGTATGAAACTTTATTCACCACCGTTGATGTCCGTTATTGAGTGAGAATATTTGTAATAACCATAATCAATAAACTTGTGTTGTTTAGTTTTTTAGTATTAAATATATATATATTTATTAAATTTGAATATATTATCAACACGAATCTATTCAGTCATTATTGACCGAATAGATTTTTAGTTATACACGAATGATCAATGATGTCAATTCCAGAAAAGGTAAGATGGCCGTGCCATTTCACTCAGTATTTGTGATTCTGAAGTTACGCTGTCATAGGGGGGTAGGAGCGTGTTCTGAGCACTTTATGTCGAGGATGTGTTCTATTATCTCCCGAGAAACTGACATAGAGATTGAAGTTATATCTTCGAAACGGCTATGCTGCAAACATTGATGAATAAGAATTTCGTACTGATATTTTACTATTTTAGCTCACGAATCACAAGATTGGCCACGATTTCGAATCGATTGTATGCAAATTATTAGAGATAAACGGAATGTTAGCCAACGAGATAAAGGTTGTTCAAGGCGACAATGAGATCAATATTATTGCAACTTATAAAGAAAAATTAGTTTTAATCCAATGCAAGGATATGACATCACCGATAACAGTTCATACGGTTAGGGGTTTTGAATCTGCGGTTTCAAGATATCCTTCTAATAGTCTCGGTACAATTGTGTATAATGGTAAAAGAATAGAAAAGAATTATACAACGCCAAAAGCAATACGTTGGGCAACAACGTCTGAAAGGAATATTAAAATTTGTGAAAAAAATGAATTAGTCCAAACAGTTAAGGATTTATTTAAGGATGATAGTGATAATGAAGATATTATGATGTTGGATGTTAAGGCGGATAAGTTTGATATGAGGGAGCTTACAGGTGAAAATATCACCATTGGCAAGATAATTTCCAGGAAGAGAAAGAGGGCTTGAGCATTTTATTTTTATTTTATTTTATTTTATTTTATCTATTATTGATTTATTCAATCATAATTTGACCGAATAGATTTTTACCTATACGCGAATGATTAATGATGACAACTTTGAAAAAGGTAAGATGGCTGTGCCTTTTACTTAGTGAATATAAGATTTTGAAGTTACGCTATCTCAAATTGGAAGGAATTCATTCTGAGATATTTCTTTTCACGAGAAATACGAGGATGAGTTCTATTTTCAGTGGAAACCGAGCTGTTTTGCGAGTTATATCTCGGTGAAGTCAGCCGTTACGTGAGAGATGAATAGGAATCCTTCACTAACCATTTTTAAATTTAATCCAGAATTCAAATCATAAGACCAGCCACGACTTCGAATCTACCATTGCTAAGATCTTGAATGAGCACGGTATTTTATCGTATGGGGTTAAAGTGAGGCAGGGTGATGGGGGTGTCAATATCATTGCGAACTATGAAAAGAAGATTATTATAATCCAATATAAATCCATCAAATCATCTATTTTGTTAAAATACGTAAAGGATTTTGAGGCAACTCTTTCCAAGTTTTTCGACAATTCCTTGGGAATAATTGTATATGATAGCGAACGTATGAAATCACCAAATCTATTGACCAAGCAGGCATCTACTTGGATGAAGACAATGGAAAAAAATATGGTAATATCGAACGAGAAGTGCCTAATTTCGGATATAAAAAAACATTTCAATCAAACTAATACAATTGATGATCCAAGTAATCTTATTGAGTTTAAAAAGTTAAATGCTTTATCGTTAGATATGTTTGGTATGAAAGCGGAAAGTGTAAATATTGAAAGTATTTTAATAAAAAAAAAACAACGATTTAACCCTTACTAAGTCTGCTCAGTGCTGTATATGCACCGGGCAGCTTTTTTAGCCTGTCAACATTCAACATGTCTGAGCAAGATCCTCTTGACCAATTCATTGATATCAACACGACCCCAGAATTGGATACAGATCTTTTTGACCAATTCATTGACACCGTATTATGTGAAATGCCCCCAAAATTAGAGAAAGGTAAAGAAAAAGAAACTGCTAAGAGAAAGTATTCAAATCTTCCAGATCGATCTTCGGCGAAAAAACCAAAGAAAAATGATGATGAAAAGATCATCGATTTAACTGACCTACCAACATTGGGAGAAAAGAAAGTTAGCAAACAGCTAACGCATGGTCCAAAAAAACTCGGCAAGGTTATAGTCGTATTCGGATCTGTTGGTGCTGACAAATCTCGTTTCTCAAATATGTTCAAGGAGCATTGTGAAGGCCGAGGTTTTTCCGTCTATTTTCCTACTGAACTTTCATTACGGTTGCGTGAGGATTTTAAGTTATTTAATTCGAATCCGAAGAAATATGCATTTTATTTTCAGGATCTTGTTATCGAGACTTTTTCCCAATCTATGAGTAT